AGATGCTGATCGTGTGGGTTTCAGTGGGCTCAACAATCAACAATGGAAGACGTTAGTTGCTCTGCTCAACGACCGTAGTTGCAGTCCACATGAACGTCTTTCTGGTAAGTTCTTTGTTGAATCTTGGATCATGGATATTGGTGCTTCTAATCATATGACTGGAAGTCTTGAGTTCCTATCGAGCATTTGTGAGATACCACCGGTTTACATCAAACTCCGGATGGTCATTTTACAACAGCTAGTGAACAGGGGAACGTTTCTTTAGGTTCTCATCTTCGTTTGACTAATGTCCTCTTTGTTGCGGGTCTACAATGCCATCTGATCTCCGTATCTCAGTTGACTAGAGATAGTCAGTGCATATTCCAGATTTCTGACAGGCTTTATGTTGTTCAGGACCGCATCACACTGACGCTGATTAGAGCGGGTGAACAGCTGAACGGGCTCTATTTATTTCGTGGCATGGAGACTATGGCAGTGGCGCATGCTGTGGAGAGACAATCAATGGATGTCTGGCATATGCGCTTGGGTCATCCTGCTTTGAAGGCAATGGAGATGCTTTCTTTAGCTGATATTAGTAGTAGTAGTGGTTTTGATAATAAGCATTGCGACATTTGTATTCGTTCCAAACAGACAAGAGATTCATTTCCTTTGAGTAATAATAAAACAACACGGGTTTTTGATCTTCTGCATTGTGACTTATGGGGTCCTTATCGGACTACATCTGTGTGTGGATCACGCTATTTTCTCATAATCATTGATGATTACTCACGTGCAATCTGGATTTATCTGCTGCCAAATAAAACAAAGACTGCCTCTACACTACAAAATTTCATTGCTCTCGTTGAACAATAGTTCAATCAGCAAGCCAGGACTGTTCGAAGTGATAATGGGTCTGACTTATGTGCCTTACTGATTACTTTCAAACAAAAGGGATTATCCATGAAACCTCTTGCGTAGGGACACCGCAACAAAACGGCCGAGTGGAGAGGAAACATCGACATATTCTGAATGTCGCTCGTGCACTTCGTTTTCAGGGGAACTTGCCAGTTAATTTTTGGAGTTGCTGCATTCTTTCAGCTGGCTACTTGATTAACAGAACTCCGACTGCAGTTCTTGCAGGGAAAACACCGTTCGAGATGTTGTACGATCGTTAACCCCCTATGAATCATCTTTGGGTTTTGGGTTGTCTGTGCTACGTCCATAATCAGCGTACAGAGGGACACAAGTTTGCTTCTCGCAGCAATTGTTCCATTTTCATCGGCTATCCTTTCGGCAAAAAGGGGTGGCGAGTTTACGATCTGGATACTAGCGTTGTCACGACTTTACGGGACGTTATTTTTTTTGTGAAACGGAGTTCCATTTTGCTGCCCCTCGTGATGAACTCTCCGACCTTCCAGCTCCTTCAGCCTCTTTTGTTCCATATGATCTTGACGACGATCCTCTTGCGGAGGTTTCTCCGACAACCTCTGTATCTCCGATTCAGCCAAACGACGAGTCTCCTGCTGTTCTTGACTCGCCCCCTATCATTCCGTCTTTTACATCACAAGACAGTCTGATCGAACCCACATCCCCAACATTAACTACTTCTCCTGATTCTTTGCTGCCGTCGAATTCTCGAGTTACTGACACCATATACACGAGTACTGAGTCTTCAATTTCATCTACACGGAGTTCTCCATTGGTGTCTCCGATATCTCCTACTGCATTGTCTCCAACGGAACCAGAGGAGACACGTGAAACAGAGGAGACACGTGAAACAGAGCATGAAGATGAAACAGAGGCGGATCCTGATTCTCCTGATATGCCTTTGGGCAAAGGTTTTCGTCCTAAAATCTGCTCTGTAAAACTCAAGGAATATGTCACTTATACGACACAGTCTGGTTCCAACAGCGATTGGATCGACTCCTCCTGGTATCCTATTGATGATTTTGTCGATTGTAATCGATTTTCTGAACATCATCAGATTTTTCTTGCTGCCATCTCTTCGTCTGTCATTCCTCGCACATATACTGAAGCTTTTGCAGATGAAAATTGGAGAGGAGCTGTTCGCACTGAGATTGACGCACTCGAAGAGAGCGGTACTTGGACCGTCCAGACTCTTCCTCCGGACAAGACCGCTTTGGAGAGTAAATAGGTTTTCACCGTAAAATATCGTTCTGATGGGACTCTCGAACAATATAAAGCTCGTCTCGTGGTTCTCGGCAACAACCAAACCGAAGGTGTTGACTACGACGAGATGTTTGCTCCTGTTTGTAAGATGGTTAGTGTTCGATCGCTCTTGGAAATCTCGGTTTCTAGGGATTGGGAGGTGCATCAGATGGATGTTCATAATGCCTTTCTTCATGGTGACTTAGAAGAAGAGGTTACATTCGTTTTCCTCCTGGTTTTCGGACAGATGATAAATCTCAGGTTTGTCGTCTTCATAAGTCCCATTTTGGACTTCGCCAGGCTCCACAGTGTTGGTTTGCCAAGCTGTCTCATGCGCTTTCGGACAGATGATAAATCTCAGGTTTGTCGTCTTCATAAGTTCCATTTTAGACTTCGTCAGGCTCCACGGTGTTGGTTTGCCAAGCTGTCTCATGCGCTTAAGGACTATGGATTTACTCAAGATGTTTCAGACTATTCTCTGTTTATCTTTGTCGAAGGTGACATACAATTACACGTTCTTCTGTATGTTGATGATCTCATAGTTACTGGAAGTTCTTTGGGGGTTATTGAAGCATTCAAGGTATATCTGAGCTCATGCTTTCGTATGAAGGATCTCGGACCTCTTAAATACTTCTTGGGGATTGAAGTGGCTCACAGTTCTCAGGGAATGTATTTATGCCAACGTAAGTACGTTCTTGATATCATCGCAGAGACGGGTTTGTTAGGAGCAAAGCCGGTGTCACATCCTATGGAACAGAATCATTCTTTGGCAAAATCCACAGCCTCGCTTCTTCCGGATCCCTCTCGGTATAGACGCCTTGTTGGTAGGCTCATTTACCTTGCTACGACGCGTCTGGAACACTCTTACTCCATACATGTTCTTTCTCAGTTTATGCAATATCTTACTGTGGAACATTGGGATGCTGCAGTTCGCGTTGTTAAATATCTCAAAGGAAACCCGGGACAGGGGATTCTTCTACGTGCAGATGCTGACCTGCGTCTGGTAGCTTGGTGTGATTCGGATTGGACCGCCTGTCCTCTTTCTCGCAAGTCTCTTACGGGTTGGTTCATACAGTTAGGTGGCTCACCGGTTTCTTGGAAGACGCGCAAGCAAAAGGTCGTCCCGCGGTCTTCTGCGGAGGCAGAATATAGGGCTATGGCAGATACTGTTAGTGAGCTCCTTTGGATGCATGCGCTTCTTATAATGTTAGGAGTGGATTGTTCGGCTCCAATCATTCTCCATTGTGATAGTATGTCTGCTATACACCTTAGTGCCAATCCGGTGTTTCACGAGCACATTAAGCATGTGGAGTCGGATTGTCATTTTATACGAGATGAGATAGTCTGTGGTATCATCGCTATGAAACATGTTTCTACTACTACGCAGCTTGCTGATATTTTCACCAAAGCACTTGGCTGAAAGACGTTTCACGATTTTGTGTGCAAGTTGGGTATTAGTGACCTACATACTCCAACTTGAGGGAGGAAGGTATTAGGCTGAGAATGTAATTTATATAGAATTGGGTATAAACTATGTTAATTACGGTTTATGTAATTATGTTACAACATGTATATAAGGCGATGCCTTCACAACTTTATGAATAAGAAATCCTTTACACCAAATTAGGTTTCTTGACATTCTTGTTCTCCAAAATCCCAACAATATTGATTCGTTTTGGTTGTCCAAAATAAGGCTGCCTACTATTTATTTCTCTTTATTTATGGTGAAACTTGTCAACAAGCAATAATGCAGAGTTTCTTACAAAATTCAAGGATTTATCTCCGATGTTTACTGATTTGAAACAAGTAGCGTTTGGTATCTCATCTGTATCACTATCACACCATTGGAATTGAGCTACGTTGTTCATGTTCTTTCTCAGTACATGCAAGAGACCAATCCTTTATGCTTGGACCGTGATATTCTCATGCTTAGTGTGACGCTGATTAGACTGCTTGTCCATTCACGCACTCGTCGCTATCTTAGTGTTTACGTAGTCTTTTTTGGGAAGTTTCCAATTGATTAGAACTTAAAAACCCAGAGATATGACCGTTACCACATGCAAACTCATATATATGGGTCTGGGTAAAAGCTTTTCTCTAATTAGGGTTTACGTAGATTTTTTTTTTTAAAGGATTTGGTTTACGTAGTTCTTTTTGGGAAATTTCTAATTTATTAGAATCTGTGCATTTTTCATTTTGCGACAGCTAATCAGCATTGCAAATTATTTGTGAATTTTGTCTTTTCATATATGTACTACGCATGAAGTAGAATATTGTCATCAAACTCATCGCTTAAAACATCGCAACAGATTGTTCTTATTAAATTTGCATACACATGAACATAGATAGAATTATATATGATGACAGTCTTTTCGTCTGATATTCTCTTGCTATTGCACATCCATCATCAAAAACCTATGCCAACAATTGAGAAATCGAGTTTACAACAACAATATATAAAAAAAAATTTACAAAATAAATCAAGAAATTTTCAGGATGTAAAGAAAAAAAACATGAAACATAGAACATGTCAAATTAAATTATTTTCATACGTAATATCTTTCAACTAACTAACAAAAAAAAAAAAAAATACTTGATAACAAAAAATCATACTTTTTATATATGTGCCATAGCTTTCTAAGCAAGTGTGAAGCTAGCTAAAAAAGGGTCACATAACTACTTACTTTTGGAACACAAAAGTTAATTTAGATAAATACTTTTCTTTAGAAAGGTAAAATTAAAATTAAATTCAAAGCACGAACAAAAAATAAATGAAAGTAGTTTTTATAAGTATTAATTTCTCATACATTTCATACCCAAAAAAAAATAGAGAACTAAAATTAGATAATAATATGTATCGTAGTCTAATCAATTAGTGGTACATGCCAAAACGAATTATGAAAACGCTACATATAATCGGATTCTTATGACTAATTAGGATACATTCAATGTATTAGGAAAGACAACGTCCAAGTTTGAAAAATATGCATTACGATCCAACTCTCTTTGTCAATAATATCAAATACCCCCTCTTGTTTTATACAAATAGACTTATATGTATACAATACAAAAGAAAGAAAGATAAGAGGAACCACATATTATTATAAATTGCAACTAGTTAAAGTCAATGTGTATTATTGTCCTTCACTCATATGTTACCATTTCCCTTGAAAAGACGTGCACCGCGTTCCGTTGACTGACTTAGCTCTCTTTTATTAACGCAAAAGTCAACCCTATTATCTCTATTAACTCTGAATCGTATTCCTCGCAAATAACAATCCCATTTCATAGATCATCTAGCGAAAAATCTGAGAAGAAAAAGGTACAAAAATACAAAACAAAATGGGGAAGCCAACGACCCAAAACAATAGCTCTATAAACCACTTCAGCCATCCACACCGCCTTCAATTAATCCCAACGACGTCTTCACCACCGTGCTCCGCCTGTAAACTCGCCGGAGGCAGTGACCGGGTTTACTCATGTAGGCCATGCAACTTCTATCTCCATGAGTCGTGCAGCAAGATGAATCAGGTAATAACACATCCTTCTCACCCTTCTCATATGCTTACACTTCTGGTGGCTCCGGTTTACGATGGTGGATACTTCAATTGCGACGGTTGTGGCGTCATGGGGACTGGTTTTAGCTACCAATGTTCTGCTTGCGACTTTGATATCCACGCGCTTTGCGCTTACAAGCCACTCTCGATCATCCACATGTCTCATCCGCAACACAGCCTTAAGCTCGCGTTTCACTCTCCCTATGGAGCCAATAAAGGTTTTTCTTGCGATATCTGCCTTAAGATCGGAAAGAACCAGTGGCTTTATCGATGCGTCCCTTGCGAATTCGATGCTCATGTCGGTTGTGTCACTGCTCATCAGCCTCACCTCCTTCAACATAGTACTTCTGCAGCTACTCCACATGCTCATCATGGTCACACTCAGCACCAAAACTCTCTTCCCATGCCTAATCAAGGCATTAACAGGCCAGGACCAAGGCAAGGCATTAACAGGCCAGGCCCAAGGACCATGACGAGACCCAATGGACCCATCAATAGTCCTAATAGGCCTAGTGGGTCCATCGGTAATCGCAATAGGCCTGTAGCTCAAAACGCTGCTGCCTATGGACCAAGAAGACAGAACAACAACTTGGGTTATAATGCTCAGGCTGGGGCTATAGGGCCTAATGAATTTCTTGGTCAAGGACAAAGTTTTGGTCAAGGGTCAATGGATGGGAGTGTGTACGATGGTAGTGCAGGGAACGAAGAGTTTGATGGTGAAGTCGATGTTGAGATTGAATATGAAGTTGATGTGTATGAAGGTACAGAAGATGGAGAGGCTAATGACGAGGGCGAAGACGTTGATGCTAATGGGCTTGAAATTGTTGCTTATGGTGATGATGATGGTGCTGCTCGTAGTGAAAGTGAATTTGGAGGCAGCAGTGATGCTCGGAGCCAATGTACTGATTTTTCTGATCATACTGATCTTTATCCACTCTCAGTTCGTAAGAACAAAGGGTCAGGTGGTAGTAGCAAAAAACCTGCTAATCCGAATGCTAGGTCGAAGAATATGGGTCTTAATGGGCCACGAGGTGTGCTTCAAGGGTCCAAGATTCCAATCCAAAGTCCTAGAGAACCTCAAACTAGAAGGGTGCAGAATGTACGTAATAATCCAATAAGAACAGGCGGGTCTGCTGGGTTTAACAGTGGGCCTCGTGATCCAGCTTCATTTAATGGATCTCAGGGGGTTAATGGGCCTAATGGTGGACCCACCAATGTAGTGGATAGTGGTGCCAACAACGATAACTACAACCAAGGTGATGGAAATAATATGTATGGTGGTGAATATGGTGATAGTTATGGTGATGATTATTCTGGTGGTGGTGGCGGTGATGGTGTTTGTGATCTAGAAGTCGAAGGCGATTTTGATGTTGAAGGCGATTTTGAAGTTGAAGGCAATTTTGAAGTCGGAGGCAACTTTGTCGAGGATGGTTATGGTCAAGCTTATGATGAGACTTACAGTGAAAACGATTTGGAAAGCTATAGTGATATCACTGGAGGAAATGAGTCTATGTATTGTGGGGATGAATCTTACGGGACCATGGATGATTCACAATATAGTGGTTTAAATGATAAGCCCAATAACCACTATATACCAGTTGGTGGACCGGTAATGAATGACCAGAACCAGATTAGTCAGTCCGGTAGGCCGAGGAACATGGAAAGGTATGGGCGTGGTGGTACTACAAATATGAACAGATATGTAAACATGAACCAAGGTGCAAATAGTACACAACTTAGAGCTATGGGTCGAACGGTCCAATATAGGCGTAATAGAGGAGGACCTAATGGAACGTATGGAGGTCCCAATGGACCTAATGGGCCTAACGGAAACACAATGATGAATACAATGGTGCAGGGTTTGTGTCAAGGCTTTGCAATGAACATGCTCATCGGTGGTATCGGTGGTGGCGGTGATGTTAATGGTGGAGCGGGTGACGGTGGTGGATCATCAATTATTGGAGGCTTGTTTGGTGGTGAATCAGAATTTTGATTCTGAAAGAGGTGAAAACATGCTATTGGATCTGGAGAAATTGAAATACTTGTTTTTTTTTGGTTATATATTTTGAGAATTTGTATTGCTTTTTTTTTATATTTTTCTTTTTTTTACTTTCTCTTTTTATTCTTTTTTATGTATTTGTAAAACAATATATTGTTATGATATAATTAAATATTTTATACATATAAATAAGTATATATTAGATAAATAATCTTGAAAGAAAAGAGTTACAGATAGAATAAAAATAAAAATAATAGAAACATATATTTTATGTGAATGATATATATATATATATATATTATTTTATTTGTGTATATGCGAATTTATAAAAAAAATATTTTACAAATTTATAAAAATTATATTTAAAACAAAATCAAATTCTTTATGAAAAAAATTTAAAATAAATTAAAAACATTAAAAGAAAATCATGAAAATGAAAACGAAAAAAAGCCTTTTCACCACACAATTCACAACTTCGATCCGTTCTCAGATACTTAGATACTTGATCATCATATCCAACTGATTTTCGACCAAAGTGACATACCGTCTAAAGCACTCTAGTGCTTCTGAGTACTAAAATATTAGGTACATATACCTGATCGAGTGAAATCATCTATAAAAGTGATAAAATATGAAGTTCCATATCTCACCCTCATACTTATCGGACCACCAATGTCTGAATGAACTAATTGCAATAGAAATTCAGCTCTAGTTGCTTTTTCAAATGATTTTCTTATTGTTTTTCCAGCCAAACATGGTTCACATATGTGAAGATCAACTTGCCGAGTGAGCCTAGAAGGCCTTATCTAGCCAATTTTTTTCATTCGATCGACGCCAATGTGACCACACATTCATCTCAACATTAGTAGAACTTGTGACATATGAAAAACAATGATCACATTACTACTAGTAATATAGGTAGTATAATCAAGTACAAAAAACCCACCATAAACATAAACAGAACCAAAGCACAGACTCTAGATTATATTTAAACATATACCACAGAAGTTCAAACCAAATCCTAAATTAAATTAAAAAATTACAAAAATATGGAAAATTAAATGCATATTTCAAAAATATAGCATATTTTTTTAATAGAAATTGATATTGATTTTAAAAATATACACATAATTAACTTATTAGGTTTTATTCATAACCATTTCTAGATTTAGCCAAAAGAAAATGTTAATTAAAAAAATGTGAAAGTTGAGAATTAAAAAAAAAAACTCATTATTATGTCAATATCTAGAGATGAAACTGAATAATTTGAAAATGTTATAAATTATTAATTATATAAGCGAAACATGTGTTTGATATATACATATATAATATATATCTCGTATACGAGAGAGGAGGAGAGGTGATAGAAGAAAGAGAAGTGAAATAATTTTAGTTCTTCTTCACTTTATTTTCTTGCTCTCGTAAGATGTCTTTACATAAGGTGTTAACTCACCTTTATATAGGTGAATTAATTGTATAAATTAATGCATGGCGGTGAATGAATTCAATAACGACAAATGATGGGATAATTACTAACTTATTATTTTAACACTCCCTCTTAATTATCCATCACTAATGATATATTATGTACTGCCTCGTTAAAAACCTTATCATAGAAAAAAACTCGTTTGGGATAAAAACCATGATGAGGGAAAAAGAGTGCAGTAACGCTCCCCCAGGAAATGATGGATATAATCTTTTCGCGCATTCCGATGCTATGAACATGTGTTTCTGAATGTTGTAGTGGGAAGTGCCTTCGTAAATAGATCAGCTGTGTCGTCGCAAGAACGAACATATTGAATATTCACTTCTTGATTTTTCTATAGCTCTTTTGTGTAAGAGAAAAATCTTGAAGGGATATGCTTCGTTTGATCACTTTTGATATAACCTTCCTTTAGTTGAGCAACACATGCTGCATTATCTTCAAATATTTTTGTTGGCTCATTCTTTGTTTCTATTCCGCTTGCATCTTGTATATGGTGAATTATAGATCTGAGCTATACGCGTTCCCTACAAGCTTCATGTAATGCAATAGTTTCCATATAATTTGAAGACGTTGCAACCAAAGTTTGCTTTTGGGAACGCCAAGAGATCACGGTTCCTCTAATTGTAAAAACATATCCGGTTTGCGATCTAGCCTTATGCGGATCTGATAAATATCCTGCATCCACAAAACCAACCATACCAAACTCGGGGTTTCTAGAATAAAATAAACCAAATTCAATGGTACCTTGTAAATAACAGAATAAATGTTTTATTCCATTCCAATGTCGGCGTGTAGGAGATGAGCTGTATCTTGCAAGTAAATTAATAGCAAAAGCTATATCAAGTCTAGTACAATTTGTAAGATATATAAGCCCACCGATAGCGCTCATATAAGGTACTTCAGGACCTAATATTTCTTCGCTATCATCACATGGCTGAAATAGATCTTTATCAACATCGAACGATTTATTAACCATCAGAGTACTTAAAGGAGCCGCTTTATCCATACTAAAGCGTTTCAAGATCCTTTTCGTATAATTTGATTGATGTACAAATATACCGTCTTGGAAATGCTCTATCTGGAGCCCAAGATAAAACTTTGTTTTTCCAAGATCTTTCATTTTGAACTCTTCTTTCATATGAGTTCTTGCATCATCAATCTTCTTTTGAGTTCCGATTATATTCAGGTCATCAACATAAACAGCAATGATCACAAATCCCGATTCAGATTTCTTAATAAACACATAAGGGCATATCGCATTGTTGACGTAACCTTTACTCAACAAATATTCACTTAAGCGATTATACCACATGCGTCCGGATTGTTTTAATCCATAAAGTGATCGCTGTAACTTGATCGCACATATCTCTTTACATGTTGATCTTAATGCTTCCGGCATTTTCAATCCTTCAGAGATTTTCACATATATATATATATATATATATATATCATTCTCAAGTGATCCATATAGATATGCTGTCACAACATCCATCAGATACATGTCTAGATTCATGGATGCTGCTAGACTCATTAAGAATCTGAAAGTTATTGCATCCATTACCGGGGAATATGTTTCCTCATAATCAATTCCCGGTCTTTGAGAAAAACCTTGAGCCACAAGCCTCGCTTTATACCTTGTGACCTCATTTTTCTCATTTCTCTTTCTTACAAACACCCATTTGTATCCAACAGGAATTACATGCTCTGGTGTTATGACAATAGGTCCAAAAACCTTTCTTTTATTGAGGGAGAATAATTCTGTTTCAATGGCCATTTTCCATTTCTCCCAATCATGTCTTCTCTGACATTCTAATATGGACCTTGGATCTGGATCACTGCTTTCAAGATCTTTAGATACAAAAAAAGAATATTCCATCAATATCTTTTATTTTATTTCTGATCCATAATTATCTATTTTGGGCGTAATTGATGGAAATCTCATATTTTTCTGTTTCACATTCGTCTCCAAGACGAATCTCTTTATCTCGTTCTTCTATAACCTTTTTACAAATCTCTTCAGGACATTTTTCTTTAAATGGTTCCTCTAGAACCTTTTTACTTTCTTCTCCCATATTCTTTTTCTTTCGGGGAATTTTATCTTTAGAACCCATCAGTCTCCCCCTTTTCAACTGAACCCTAGATTCATTTGATATGTTCCCATCAATGTGTTCTTCAGGAACACTAATTCTGGATAGAACATTTTCTGCGGGGATATATGACTTTGTCACCCTCTTTGTATCTGTGAACGCATCTGGTAACTGGTTTGCCATATTTTGCATATGTACAATTTTCTGAACTTCCATCTCACGTTGATTGGTAGGAGGATCAAGATAAACCAAAGATTTTGTACACCAAGTGATATCTTTTGGTGATTCTCTCAATCCTTCCCCTAATGCGGGGAATTCATCTTCATTAAAATGACAATCGGCCAAACGTGTCGTAAACATATCACCAGTTACTGGTTCAAGATACCTGATTATAATTGGTGACGTATAACCGATGTATATTCCCAATCTTCTTTGTGGTCCCATTTTTGTTCTTTGGGGTGGCGCTATCGGGACATAGACCGCACACCCAAACACACGAAGATGGGATATATTTGGCTCCTGTCCAGATATCAACTGTAATGGAGAATACTCATTATATGCACTTGGCCGTATCTGGATCAGGGCTGCTGCATGCAAAATAGCATGTCCCCATACATTAATTGGGAGTCTTGTTCTCAGTATTGAAGGTCTTGCTCCATTGCAACATTTAATCAATGACTCAGCCATTCCATTTTGTGTATGAATATGGGGAACCGGATGCTCAACATCGATTCCCAATGACATACAATAATCATTAAACACTTGTGAAGTGAATTCACCAGCGTTATCCAGCCTTATTTTCTTAATAACATAATCAGGAAATTATGCTCTCAACCTGATTATTTGGATAATGAATTTAGCGAAAGCCGTATTTCGTGTGGTCAATAGACACACATGTGACCATCTACTAGATGCGTCAACCAAAACCATAAAATATCTAAACGGCCCGCATTATGGGTGGATCGGCCCACATATATCACAATGTATTCTTTCCAAAAATTTTGGTGATTCATTCCCAGCTTTGGCTGGTGATGACCGAGTTACGAGTTTTCCTTGAAAACAAGCATTACATAAAAACTCGTCCATTTGTAATATTTTCCCGTTTTTCAACGGAGGGCCATTAGAATTTTGCACAATTTTTCTCATCATGATTGAACCAGGATGACCTAACCTTTCATGACAAACTTTAAATGTACTAGTAAACTTCTGGTTTACTGTAACATATGATTCAATCATACTTATTTTTATGCAATATAATCCAAAGGATAACCTTTTCAATTCTTCCAATATATGTTTCCTCTCTGATGTAATGCAAATATATTCAGTGCCATTCTTATTCATAGTCTCTATAAGATATCCATTTCCGCGGATATCTTTGAAACTTAATAAGTTTCTGTAAGGCTTTGGGAAATATAATGCTT